ATTTTCGGACCCGAGCACCTTCTCCCATGCCCTTACCCCAACAGCCACACACCAGGCTTTCATCACCGCCAACCCATTTTCACCCACTGATGGTCCTCATTAGTAACTTTTCTTTCTCCTCAGCCCACCATTATCCATTCCTTTGTCTGCCCAATTGCTGTTTTCTCTCTCTGGGCAACATCTCCACCTATCGTTTAATCCTTTTGAAAACCGCCTGTCCCCCACAACACTCCTCCATTGTCAGCACATGTACCAACCTTTTCTTAACTACAGTCAGTTCTGAAGAAGGATCACTTGACCCAAAACATGAACTCTACTTACTCTCCACAAACGCTGTAAGACCTGTTGAGTTTCTCCAGCTATTTCTGTTTTTCCATTAGCCACTTACCCTCAAACACAATGAGAATGGATAGATTTACCTGAAGGATAGACTTCACTTTACAAATAATTCCAATACTGCATTTACAGCACAGAAACAGGGCATTCAGCACAACTGGTTAATGCTCCATATCAATTTCATAGAACTTTCACTGGCTCAGCATCTGGACTCAAGGGATCATCCTTGGGGTAATTCGGGTACTTTGATTGCTATTTTACAAGGGGAGGAACCAGGAAAAGTCTGGGAAAAAGTGATACGTTGAGAAAGGATATTTAATCTCAATCAGTTGTAGACTAAACGAGTTTGCAGCTTATCATAGATACACATTTCTTAAATGCAGATTTGTTTTCAAACTAAAATACAACATTTAATTTTTAGTTTCAACTGTAGTTGTTTGCAGTCCATTTCTTCAGAACATTATTTACAAAGCTCTCAAATGAAGTAATATCTTCAAATTTAATCACCACCCCTCTTAAAAAAAGTCATGGCTTATCTTTCAATTGTAGGCAACTTGAGTAATTGAATGGTGTGCTCCAAACAAACAAAGATCACTAGACGAGTCCAACATTACACCAATTCATGTGGCTTTTCAAATCTCAATTCAATGCTGACAAAACTTGCACACACTCTCACACACACACACACACACACACACACGTGTGGAGAGATAAAAGTCAGCAGCCACAAACGCATTCTTTCCAGTGTAAAGCATTACCTCAGCTTTATTTTTCAAAATTGCAGCTCAGTAATAAATTAAAGAAATGGCAGAAGGATGCAGTTCATCTATAAAGGTGTTTATTTTACATTTAGGCTATGAGGAGAGACACTGTACAATAAAGAGAGTGACCGATGTTACTGAAAGCCTGAAATAGCTGCTAGATGACAGCTAGAGCTAGAGATTCAGCCCATTTAAAAACTTGAATGAAGAAGGATTCAGAAACAACAAAAGCCAGCAGATTGGAGAGGTCTTTGGCATTGCAATGAAGCAGTTTATCTGCGTAAGAAAGAGGTACAAAATCAACAAAAAATAAATGACAGAAACAGATGAAAGCAGAAGGCAAAAGAAAACATGCTAAACATGAGAGCAAAGAAAGAATTCAGACAACTTTGGTCAGCTTCTGATTTGAAGTTCAGGAGAAAATCATACCAAGCTGCAGGTTTTGGAAGAACGTTTTCCAGGTTACGAAGGACCAGCTCTATTTTAGTTTGCAGAAGCTGGCTAATTTGCCTTGGGAAATATTTAATACATTTAAAATGAAGTACTTCCATAAGGTCCATTCTCAGCTTGATCTGGCCTAGCAGAGGTCAATGATGCCAAAATCCCCACAGTACAGAAGATGGACTAGTCTATAATGAAACAGGCCACGAAGAAAAAATGTCTAACTTCATCATTCCACCTCCCTTTCACACTTGACCCTCTCCCACGTTCCTGTGTATACTTCCCTCTAATGCTCCACCGTTAGAGCCACAAAATTCCACAATGTACTGTTCTGGAGGAGAAGCTAGGGGAGAGCTTGCTTCTCATCCACAGGTGAGCCCTCAAACAAAGTGCAAGCTTTCCAACAGCGCAAAAGAACACACAGTTTGTCACAAGCATGAAAGAGTTGGGTCATTACTAAGGTGTGCCCTGCAAATGGAAATGTTGATTAATGCCAATTTAGAACTGACAAACCATTGTAATCCACCACCTTCACACAGTCACAGAAAAATCAAAATACTAGTAACCACGCAAATTTGTTCTCCAAGCATCTTAATGGCTACTTTCTACAAAGATGACCATTTAAAAGTATAAGGGATGGGAACACTTCAAATAATGGGGAGAAAGTGCAAGAGCTACAATGAGCTGTATGTTCAGCCTGCACTTTGAGCAGGGATGGATACTCGTTACTTTCCTGCTGTTGTTTATGTTTTTTTCCTATTCATGCTGTTCAGTGATGTTATTACACATCTCTGGAGCAGGTGGAACTTGAACCCAGGCCTCTTGGCCCACAGGTAGCAACACTACCACTACACTACAAGAACTCCAATGCTGCCTCCGCTCCGCTCCCCCCCGCCAACTCCCGAGGGCACATTAATTGGGTAGCCTTGTCAACGAGCTAGTACAGGCACAGGAGGTTGATTGGCCTCCTTCAGTGCCACACGGTTCTACGACGGGTCTCCTCCAACTAAGGCAGCCTTGCATCGCCAGTTGCAAGATGACGCCATGTCCTTTGACTGTATTAAGCATCACATGGGTGTGGCACAGGAACGCAGTTTGACACGGCAGTCCCTGCTGCAGAGAGAGATGGTTGGACCAAGATGGTGCAGACTTCACTGGGCTCCGCTTCCCCTAGGCCCTCTCAGAGACCAGCTGAATATTTTGTTTTTGTTCTTGCCCTGTGCTTGGTTCCACACCTCTCCCTGCATTCACCGGGGATAACCGACTAGTTGCTTCACTAACCCTGACCACGGAGGTCAAGCACCTCCAAACAAAACCAAACCTTTTCAGCTATGCACAATTTACTTCTGGCTGGCATGTGGGTGGTACAAGGCATCAACTTGGGCCCATTCCCTGGGAATTCCAAAATGCTGATGGGCCTCATTTACAACTGAGTGTCAAAGCATCAATTTTAGAAGACTCTGGATTTTAGAAGGCTGTGTTCAAGGTCATAGACTCCATACCCATAAAATGAACAGATTTGTTGAATTCAATGTAATAATTTGTCATAGTGGGATTTGATCTCGACCTCTGGGCTAATAGGTTGGTTCCATCACTTCTGTACATGTAATTGCTTTCCTAGAATTGGAAAGTGAAAGCAGACCCTCCAACCACCTCCAACAAGAATTCATACCACTAAATGTTCATTCAAACTGCAACATAACCAGCTAAACACATTTAAAATGTGTTTCATTTGAAACTAGACAGATGGACCAGTGTTGACTGAAGTAGATACAGTACTTTATAAAAGTTAACAGGACACATGTTTGGGAGAGAAACCATCACCAATTGGAAATCTTGCTGGTATGTTTCAGATGAAATTTCATTTTTAAATTTAGTGCAAGAAATGTTAGTGCAAGAAAGATGCATTACTGTGCTGAAAAGCAGGAAAGCAAAGACACTCAAGGAGAGGGTGCAGTCAGTAGGTATAAGAACAGTAATGAAAGGTAGGAGTTTTTGAATAACATATTGATTAGTTCAATACAAGAGAAATCTGAAATTACACTTCTCTGTGAGAGCACAACACACACGCACACACACAATCGTAGCAATACAAGAGAACAAGCTTTATTCTTTTGATTTTTGATTCAGTCTTTGGGCAAGACTATCTTTCCCAAAGCAAATGAACCCACACATTAAAATAGAACAGAGTTAATATGGTGAGGCGCACCCAGGTAAAAATTAACCAACATTTCTGGTTTGCATTCCTCGCTTGATTATTGCTTTGGGGGAATTGTTCCATATTTTATACACTCCCAAACAGAGCAAACAAACACCAGAATTGAAAATGTTTAGAAGGAAAACTGAACCAACGATTTAAATGGTGTGCACTTATGTTCAATATGCTCGAATACTGGTTTAAACAGGTACTATTAAGCAAGAAGCAAATTTGCATTTTTTAAACATGGACATTGTCATGTGAAGACTAGCAAAACCAGTACAGTTTGTTAAGTATATAAACGTTCGTGCACAGCAAATTAAGTGCAGTTAAGAGTCAAGGACAGGAATATAGAAAAAGAAAGACTAAGAATTAGATTTAGGGATTAAGGAAGTGCAGTATGAGGAAGTTTATTTGGAAAGTCGTGGTGCACAGATGCAAACAGGCACAAAGATAAAAGAATTACATTGATGTCATATCGTTGAGAGCATGGTCCAGTTCCTCGCTGATCGCCTTGTACTTTAACTTCTGAGCATACAATTCATCTACAGAGGCAGAGGCAGAGGCAGGTGGTGTGATGGCAAGGCGAATGTGATGACAGATAGGAGATGAAAGATCATCGCATCCCGATACAGACAGGAGAGCGGCCAAAAGGAAGAGACAGACAGATGTACAGCCAAACAAAAACAAGATGAAAAGGACAAAAAAAAAATCAGTAAGAGGGAAATGAACCAATCTGCCACTTCATGCAGAAAAGGTGTCTTGCCTTTTGTGAACAAGCAAACAGTTTGTCAATCTTACAGGTAAACAAAGTCTCCAATTACAATAGCCTCCTTCGGGATACATGCGTTTTATACAGAACTCCTCACTGCTCACAGAGAACCAGCACATTCATATCTGAATGACACAAGAAATCTCACTGCCAGCAAGTATCTCACAGCTATGAAGATTGGCCACTAGGGAGAACATGGCCAGAGTGCATTTTTGTTCAATCAATCACTTTTCAATGTTAAATAAACTTCATTAAATGCAAAACTGAGAGCGTGAGACAGAACGCACGCAAGAGAGTGACTTAGAAAGAGACAGCTAGATAGAGAATGAAAGAAAAATGTTAGAGAGAAAAAAAGAAGACAATAAATAAAATAAACAAAACCAAAAATCAATCCAGGCCACTTAAGTTACACCTTGTGTATACTTCTGGTCATAAACAAACAGTACTAAAGTCATTAACCAGAGGGTATTTGAGAAGTGATTCACAATCATACCTTCCAAGTCATCAATGGATTTTTCCAACTTGGTGACAGATCTCTCTGCAAACTCAGCACGTGTCTCAGCCTGAAATCATCAACAACAAAAAGATTTCAGAGATTTGGGGCCAGTTGCCCAAAGACTATGCTGAAATCCCAAAACCAGGTGGAATACTTCACTCACCTCCTTCAGTTTGTCACTCAGGACTTTGATTTCCTCCTCATACTTGTCTTCCTTTTGCGAATACTGAGAACAGCATTGGTGGGGGGTGGGGGGAGGGGAGTGAGAAGACTCGAATCAGCAAGAGACGAGAAAATAAATTCCAACAGACGACAAACCATCGAGAAAATTCTAATCACTTCCATCCCCCAACCACCCTCAAATCTCCTGAACGGGAAACATTTGATGGGAGTCTAAGTACATTGTGCTCGTAAAGAGCTTGTATTACTTGCGAAGGTTTAGGTAATTATTACAAATATTCACTTTATATTTATTCACCATGGAACTACCCCAAGAGCTAGTCTGAGATGGTGGGCCGAAAGGCCTGTTCTTGTGCTGTACAGTTCAAAGGTGACCATGAAACCCTCAATATTAGTTGCAAAAACCCATCTGGTACGCCAACGTCCTTCAGGGAAGGAAATCTGCAATCCTCATCCAATCTGATCTACACGTGACTCCAGACCCACAGCAAAGAGGGACTCTTAACTGCCCTTTGTAAAGGCCTTAAGCAAGAAACTCCATTCAGGGATGGCCAACAAACTTCGGCCTTGCCAGGAACACTCAAAAAATGAAGCAGATACAAGTAAGAATTTCAGTCTTACAATTAACTCTCCCAAATCTGTTGGAACATAGGACTCTAGAAGCCAGAATCTCCTAGATTTTAAGAGTGGTTATACATTGTAGACATTTAAATTTGAATCAATAACTTTAAAAAAAAAATGCTTTACAATGCAAATTGAAGGAACCCAAGGAAAGTTTGGATATCTGCAGTTAGACAAATTGATCATCGTTTTCTTAGCATGGTTAACGCTTCTAATATCAAAGCGGAGCTTTCAGTCTCTCCTACCTTCTCAGCCTGAGCCTCCAGTGACTTCAGGTTGTTGGTCACAGTTTTCAACTCTTCTTCAAGCTCAGCAGATTTACTGTTTTAAGTCAGAACAGAGAAAAAAAAACCAAAAAAAGAACAGGGTGGGGAACAGTGAGAGACAGAGACAGAAACAGAAACAGAGAGGGGGAATATAGCAGCGCAAGAGAGGCAGACGAAGTTCAAAGTGAAAGGAAGGCAGGTGATAGGTACACAATGAAAAATGGAGAAAGAGAGAGAGAGAAAAAGAGAGAGAGAGAGAAAAAGAGAGAGAGAGA